TGAATAGTCGCTAAATATAGTGACAAAAGTGCTAAGTTGGCAACACTGCTCTTTGCATGGTTTGTTTTCAAATGGTTTGCTGCTGTCTGTTTGGACCTTTCTGAACATGTGCAGCAAATGGACTGATCCAACATGGTGGACACTGAAGGGGGGGGCTGAGACACACTTTATATTATCAGCGTTCTGATGGCATTTTAGCCAAAGGATTTTTATCAAAAACATAACTAATGTGCACAAATAAGGAATTGTTGTATTAACCATACATGAAAACAGTTTTATGGGGCCCCCAGAGAACTTGGGGCCCTAAGCAACTGCCTAGTATTGCTTAATGGTAAATCCCCCCCGCTATATTCAATATAAAACATGGGCAGCAAATCCTGTCTAATTATGAAACATTTATAGTTTATAGTCACATTTCCTGTTTTTAGCCATTGAAAACCACCAAGGCTGAGTATTTGAAATACCCCCCCGTGTCATTCCCTCGTCCAACAGGATGTACAATCAATATCATACATCTACAAAAATGTTCACTATTAATCAGCTCTCAGTTTCGTGTATCTTAATCGGAGCAGAATAGTGAATAAAATCACTTTTCCATAGATTTTACCACTAATGAGGCATCCTAATATCTTCAGTTTTTAAATCAGCTTTATTAGATCCTAAAAATTAATATTTCAAACAATAAAATACAGACAGCTCTGAATAAATTAGAGATTGTATTTATTTACACAATATTTTGCACATTAAGAGTGACAATATTCCATTTGCATCAAGTGCATTAGGCATGAGGAATAAACCCCTTCAGTTCTTTTAAAAATGATTAGATTTACCATGATTAGATCAAACACAAACGTAAAGAAAGGGAAATCTTACTGAAAATATGGATTTGTCTAAAATGTTTATTTACAAGTAGCCCTAATAAAGAAAAACAAAAACTCTGGTTACATAAAATATCAAGAAAACAGCTACTTACCATTTAAGTCATTGTAAAAATAAGTATCTGATTGATTAAAATACATTTACAACTATATCACAGGTTATCCGATATACATGCATTATTAAATTACAACTACGGTATATTTTACAACCTCGCTTATCTAGAATCAATATGTTTAAACATAGTTTATCAGTGGAAAGAAGGCAGGATATACCTGGTAGTTTAATAAACGTCACAATCGGTCATATTGTCAAATAATCCTAGCATGAACGTCAGTTTATTCTAAATAAAATCTAGAACAGCCCTATAGGGAGGCCATAGTGTTACCTTTCTCTCTCCACCATGTTGCAGAGGTCAGAAGAAAAAACAAAACAAAGCAGCATTTATGTTAAAGAACGGGTTCTATTTTCCCTTAAGCAATGTAGGTTTTGATTTTTTGTGCAATGGCTCCACAGCAGATTGGACATTTGACGAGTGACTCGGAGCACTGCTTGCAGCTGACCAGATGACCGCATGGCAGGAAGACGATGCAAATATCCCTATCCATGCAGATTTTACACTGTTTTTCCCTCTGCAGCTTCCTTAGCTTCTCCAGTGGGTCCTCTTCTAAAGGAAATGGATACAAATTATTAAATGTCTGCTATACAAACAGACTTAATTGACATTTCTGTAGTTTTGACTCAGGGTTAGAAAAATACCTTCTTCACAGGCTGTAAATCCATTTTCCTGACTTGGAGCCTGTATAGAAAAACAAAGATGTTACCATCGATGCAGAAAACAAGAAGAGGGATCCCAAGAATGTTGAAATACCTAAAGTGACATTAGGATTAGCAATTCATTGGTTTCCGATAGAACAAGCTGGATAGAGCGATATAAGCTGCTAAACATGCAGGATTGTGTTTAAAATGATGAATGACAAGGCGTTCTAACGACTGACCAACAGGGTCAGAAACGGTTATAATCAGCTGACAAATAAGACCTAAAATATATTAGAACAAAAGTCGTGTCTATATTATATCATATATATATTAATTTTATTGTAATCTTGGAACTAATCTAGATTAAAATGGCTGATTTGAATTCTGCTAAAGGTCTATCGAATCAGAATTACTTTATTAATCCCTTGCAGGACATTGTGTGCAATTTTTTACAGATAAGAGAAAAATAAGACTGAGTACAAATAAGATATAAGAATGAAATTAGGGGAAAAAAAATAAAAGAATGGTATGAATGAATGAATCAAACTGCTTGAGAAGCTTTTCTACTTCATCTACTATGATAACTGGTGGTGAAAATAATTTCCAATAAGATATATTTGTGTTTAATAAGTGTTTATTCAGATTAACATGAATTCTGTGATTAACTGTTTATAGTCAGTAACTTTGCGTCAGTCGGTTCAAACTCTAGTTCTCCTTTTTCCACCAGTCACTCAGGCAGTCATTGTGATGTCATTAGAGGCCGGAGTGGCAGCAAGGGCTGCTGGGTAATGTCAAAATGGGGAAAACATTTTTTTGTTAAACAGGGTTGTTTATGTTGGTAGTCTGTTGATGCTAAGCTAACGTAATGTTCTGGAGGTTGCAGCTGTAAATGTTAACATTGGCAGAATCAGAAGAATGTTTCAGCGGTGGCATAAAGGAAGAGCATTTCCTAGTTTATTTGTTTTACATAAACAAAGAGCATCGCTGCTGGACCTTGGTTTCAGCATGAAGCACTTGCTAGCATCATCACAGACATTATCAGTATAGAACTAGTTCCTAGTTCACAACCCAAATTTAATAGATCAGCGGCGACATTTTGTTTATCTCGTGATAAGAGTCTGGCGTTAACGCAGCACATTAACGGCACGCCACTTTTTCGGCTTTCGTTTAAATGTGGTCATCATGGCACCACCACCCTGCATGTTTTACATGTTTCTCTGCTTCAACACACCTGATGCAGATGATTGCAGCTCAGCAAAGAAAGTTTAACTGCTATCAACTGATATCAGGTGTGTGATAACTGAAAAATATGTAAAACATGCAGGGCAGAGTACCCTGAGGAGCAGGATGGAGAAAAATACTGGAGTGGGAAGCATGGCGTCGTTTCTGGACCAAACTGAGACCATCGATCTAAACATTTAGAATAATTCAGCAATTTAAAAAATCCAAACAAAACCCAGCTAAAGTATAAAATCCTCATCTAAAGAACCTGGAGGTAAAAGGCAATGAAACTGAGCTTTAAATATTTCCATCGACATGCCTTTTGTGCATTCTTACCACCTTTTTGTAAGAAATTCGGATTTAATTTAATTTGTCGACATCAAAGCACAAAAATCTAAAAACGCAAAAATTTTTCCTATTAATTCCAATTCCCCACCCCCGACACAGATAATAATTAAAGCATTGTTTACATTTCCCAGCTGGGTAGGAACAATAATAACTGATATACAGTAGCTGCCATTCAAAATGGCCGCTCCCAGACAAACGCCACCGAATGGCAGCAAAATCCCCTCTAACTTCCAGCCACTGGCCTTCTCCTGGACGTGCATATTTTTTTTTTTTTACTCCGACTCCACCCTTTGACTGAACTACAGGGTCTGACCAGCAGATGGCGCTTCTCTTTAGATCTTAATGTCCACAAATCATCATCGAAAGAATATTTTAGTACAAGATTGATTTTAAAAAGGAATTGTAAGAGAACCAGTCAAGGACACCTCAAGAAAAGTAGGAAAATTTTGTGTTGTTTTTTTCCCCACTTACATTTAATTTAAAACCATTTTTTTTTTTACTTTTAACCACCAATTAATCTAGAAAAATTCAATTTACTTAAAGCACCTCTTCATACAATAACAGATGAAATAATCCTTTTCAAGCTCTTTTATTACAAGCTTCAAAAACAAAAAGACGAGTGTTTATATTCAACAAAATGATCAAACATAAACTGGTTTATAGTAATTAAACTTACAGCAGCTGTTTCTCGGGGACATCGTAGCTGAATGCTGTTGACAAATTCTCTTCCCTTTTCTTCCAGCAGAAAGGTGCATCTAATGGAAAGTGAAGATATTTATGAATAAAAAGATGTTAACAGACATGTGAGCGAGTGCAGACATGGATATAGTTCTTACCCTGGGTAGTTCTGAGCGTGTTCTACCCAGGGGTCTTCCTCTGGCGCCCAGTCTTTTAAACCGCCACCACAGCGGAAACACAACACCTTGTCTCCTTGTCCTGAAAAGACATGATGTCAACATTTTTATGTTAAGTCTATAAGATCGTAACAACCCTATTTCCACTACCCTCTGAAACCCATCTGAGCCGAGTTCGGGCCGAGCCGGGATCGGTTAACCGTG